CCGATTGTTGGAAGAAATCTCATTTTGTTTTTCCCCACTTTACAGGGCTAATCCTGTAAGGAAGGCAGGAAGGAAACATTCTGGTGTTGTTTCTAGCCTAATCTTTATTGCCCTGCTTACAGAAACTGCCTTTCCGATTAACCCTTATTACCATTGTAACAACTAAGGCGAAGCGCCCATCAAGCTGAGTGACATTGACTTGGCCACACCCACATGATCACATGACCATCTGGGTGCTGCGAAGGTCGTATGCAGTGGTAGGATTCAAATAATTTAAGAACTGGTTCTCTGCCCTAGTGACCAGCTGGATAGGCATGGCTCGGTGGTCATGTGACTGGGTGGGCGTGGCCAACTCAAAGTCACTCAGGTCGATGGACGCTTCGCCTTAGCTGTTAAGGGTTACAATGTAATAAGGGTTAACCAAACAGGCAGTTTCTGTAAGCAGGGCAATAAAGATTAGGCTAGAAACAACACCAGAATGTTTCCTTCCTGCCTTCCTTACAGGATTAGCCCTGTAAAGTGGGGAAAAACAAAATGAGATTTCTTCCAACAATCGGTTCTCTAAACTGCTTAGAAAGTTACCAACCGGTTCTCCGAATAGGTGCGAACTGGCTGAATCCCACCACTGGTTTATGGTAATCCCTTCTCTTGCTGATACGTTTCAAAATAACACTGCTGGGTATGATCAACGTGACACCCAAATCTATTTTCTGTAACAAGAAATGAATTAGCGCTAAATGCCTGTCTGTAGTTGTTACTAATGTGCTGGGCGAAGGATAACAAATTAAAATGGAATCCAGACAAAATGTTGCAAGGAGTCATAATTGTGGGGGCGGGGGTGTAGATCTGTTTGTGAATGGGATTACTGCCTCCCAGAAGGACTGGGTACATAATTTGAGTTGCTTCATGAATGCACCTCTCTCTGTTTTCCCTGACTGATGAAATATAGTTGTAAGATTTTTACTGTAGCCTGCCAAGAAATAAATATTTTCTAAATTCTGACATCTAGCCCACATTGTCAGAAACCATTCAATCCTTCAGAGGCTTTTGAGATGGCCAAATGTAAACCTGCAGGAAAAAAGAAATACAGCTCAGAAGTACTATTAGCTCTCAGCCCATGTGGTGGCCACAAAGTAAAATCTAACAGCCTGTAAAGGAAATCATAGCAGAATCAAATGTATTTTAAAGAGAAGTAAAGAACACCATCTAATATCTTGAGATAGTTAGTTCTAAGAACGCTGTGACTCAGTGGCTAAGACGCTGAGCTTGTCAATTAGAAAGGTCAGCAGTTCGGCGGTTTGAATTCCTAGCGCCGCGTAACAGTGAGCTCCCGTTACTTGTCCCAGCTTCTGCCAACCTAGCAGTTCGAAAGAATGTAAAAATGCAAGTAGAAAAATAGGGACCACCTTGGTGGGGAGGTAACAGCGTTCTGTGCATCTTCGGCATTTAATTATGCCAGCCACATGACCACGGAGACGTCTTCGGACAGCATAGGCTCTTCGGCTTTGAAACGGAGATGAGCACCACCCCCTAGAGTTGGGAACGACTAGCACATATGTGTGAGGGGAACAATTACCTTTAGGTAGTTCTACTTACTCAATTGCCACCAAGAAAGTCCCTTTCTTATATTCTACTTGAAGGCAATGCTGCTAACAAGAGGGACTCTAAGTTAGCAGCTCCCAAATATTTAGACCCCTTCAACGTTGTTGAATCCTAACTACTGTTGTGTTTTTAATATGCATTTTTGATAGGGTGTAATTCCAAGGAGCTAGGTGAAAGCAGAAGCTTTAACAATATCTGCAATTCACAAAGATCTGCACTGCTGTGCCAGTTTGAAGCACTATTTATAGAGAGATTGGGGAGATTTAAAACCTGAAAAGCTTATTTATATTGTAAGCCCTTCCCCCGCCCCCCAATATAAAATATAATCCGATGCTTATAAACTTCTGGGAAACAAAATAACATAACATGATTCTAAGGATAGCACTATGTGTGAAATCCCAACCTTCTATTTTTATAAGATTTGACTCATTACCAATACTCATTAATATTGCATCACAAAGAAGTAGAAGCTGGATCCACTTCATTGGTTGAGACAATCCATAAACATGGCAGGTGACGGTAAAGAGGGCAGGCTATAGTTCGCTACCTTAATTTTCTACCATACTGTGGAGTGTTTTTAAAGTTTCTGGTTTTGGGGTTGTTGGGTTGTTGTTGTTGTTGTTGTTTTTGCACTTTCCTTTGCGTATCCTTCATTCTTCATGGGAGCAGGTCCATGCTTGCTAAGTGCTGGTTTTGGTGTCTGTATGCTAAGCACCTACACAGTGCTGCGGTAACAATCCACACTCCTCTTCCAATATGCAGCATGGTCAGAGGCAGGATTTGATAGTCTTCATTAACCCCACCTTAAATGCAGCTACTCCTGAGAAAGGGAGGTGCATATTGACTATGACTATCATTAAGTGTTGTACCTTATGATTCCTGGTGAATGTATCTTGTCTTTTATGTACACTGAGAGCATATGCACCAAAGACAAATTCCTTGTGTGTCCAATCACATTTGGCTAATAAAAGAATTCTATTCTATTCTATATTGCGAACGTGAACAGTGATAACGTTATACAGCTTTACTGGATTGTGTATATACAAGCCCCAATTCCTGTAAGCTCTTCAGCTAGTTGATTCTGCTGCAGTTGTCAGTTGCTATTTATTGAGAAAATGCATGAAGTTTCTTTATGCATCAGCCAATAACTTTCTAGTAAAAAAAATATACTGTCTCGCCATTCATCCTTCCTGCTTTCGGTGCTGCTTATCAAGACTTCCTTTTGATGAGGAGGTGCTGCTGCCAATGCCAGATGGTCCTATTTCTGAGAGAACTCGCTTTTGCTTAAGAGTTTGCTGACTACAATACCAAATTAGCATAAGCAAATGTCAGCGAGTTAACAGAAAGCCAACATTCTTTCTCTCCCTTTTCTACCTTTTATTTCTCTTCCTCCCTCTATTATAGGCCATGGGGGTTGAGAGTGACCAAGAGATTGTGCAGATGATTGGAACAGAGGAGCATGTGATGGCTGCATTTGGCCCCAGCTTGGAGGAATGCCAAAAAGCTCAGATTTTCACACAGATGCAGGTGTGCGATATTCAAGCATCCATCTATAGTACATTTGTAATGAAACTGGGCTTTTTACCCCTTAAAAAACAGTGAGTAGCAAGAAGACGCACCAGTATATCTTTTACTTGTCACCCCTGTTTTGCTTAATTAGGTCACGAGAGTAAGCCCATATCCAAAAGCCTAAACAATAGCGAACCGTTAATTGGAATGGTTCAAGTAATAAAACTCTGGATTGCTCCATTAGATGGCTAATGAAGTTTATACTTTGTTCTAGAATACTAAATTATTAAACCTGTGTCATATAAGTGGTGGTAGGGGTAACATTTTAAAATATCCTACCAAAATCTGAAATAGCCCAGTACATATTTACTGAAGCATTTGTCCCATCCAAATTACTTGGATGGGTAGGAAAAACCTAGCTCAGATACAGTATTTTGACCACATGAATGGGACTTTTAGCGGATTCACTGAAATTTACCTGAAATGAAACCAGACAAGCAAAATAAAAGTAAATATTCTTTACATAAACTGAAGGTTCTGCCTTATATTTCAGATTGCATGTTTTTTTTTTAATATCAGAAGGGGCCCATATGATCAAATGAAAATGAGCCTTGTTAAACAGAAGCCATCTACTGCATTGCTAGAAAAAGAGATGCTTACCCATTCAGTGTTAATCTCAAACTAGGTGATATATTTTCTTGTAAGGGATTAATTTGAAATAACAGAGTGTAACAGAGTAATTGTACTGCTCAGAAATTTCTACCCATCACTTGTTTAAAATAACCTTGTTCTGCTCTCTGGTTTTGCTTTCAAGCCTGTCATATTCTGGCTTGTTGGCTTCCTTGTAAAATAAAACGTGTCGATAAATACTGAACTTCTTCAAGAGGAAAAAAGTACATTGACAGTGATTTGTGACATGTATAGTACATTATGATGACAATAATGATTTTTAGCACACAGTCTTTTCATTTCGCTTTGCAGGCATTGAAATATTTGGGAAATAAAGTCCGAAGGCAGCGAATGTGGGGAGGTCCCAAGAAAACCAAGATGGAGGAAGCAAGAGAGTTGTTGGCAACAACTATTCTTGCCCATGTGCCGGTAAGTGATTTGGTCTTAAACAGCCAGATGCTTTTACTACTTCGCAGAGATGACTATGGAATGATAGAGAAAATTGAACACAGGAAGAACTGCTGCTCAATTTATTATTATTGGCTTCTGGTGATTTATATGTACACCACTTATATACCATCTGGCTTCATAAAACTCAAGACAACATCAACGATTGTCAGGCACAAATAATCAGGAACAGGTGTTGAGTTCAAATTGCTAAAAGTTTATTCTTGTCACCTATACCCAAGACTCTGAGCAGGTAACAGTCCAAGCTAAATTGGACTGTAAAGGCCAATGGAATTCACAGGGGTGGGGGGTGGACATGGGTCTTTTGTGGTTGCACAATGACTCCAAACTCATTATGCATTTAACCCTGCCCTCCAGAAGAGCCTGCTCATCTCCTACATCTATAAATCAATACAGCAAAAAGTAATTTTATATAATTTTAAGCAGGAGTAACAGATTTAAAGTATATCAATTTTCCATTATTCATTCAATGTTAGTATTAATTGGTATCCTCATTTATAAATGCATGCAGCAACCGTATCTCTTTAACTTGCTTATGCAGATGAATTTGCAGTCTATCTTGCAGAATAGATTGTTGATCCTGGATGAGACGCGAAGCAGTCCTACTTAGAACTTTTGAATGATATGTATATAATCAGAGAGAGTGTGATCCTAGTATCTATTAAACCTTGAAAAACTATCTGCCCTTTAAATAAAACAGTATTCTCCTTTCCCATATTATACGGAATAACCACTGAATTGTTATTACCAACAGTACAATAAAACCATTCATTGGAATAGTTTTACTATTAATGATACACGGATCGCATAGCTGCAGCCTCTCTTCTTCCCTGGTTCTGTGTCTCTTTTGTGGCTTGAATCCAGAACAAGCACTATGCTCTGCAACATACTAGATATATTGTACTATAAAAAGATATAATTGACCATATGTAATAACAGAATTAAGCAGAGTTAGCCCTAAGTTAATGATCGGGCAGTTATCTGGTTGGTAGTTTACATAGCAATGAATGTATTGCTCTGAGATGACATTTTCTCCAGTACTCTTATCTAGCTGTGGATAATATTGAGAAGTGTAATATGGAGCTTTACCCAGAATAATTGAAAGAGAGTTTCCAGACATATTCTGTGTACTGTCAGACTCATTCCCAGAAATCAGAAGCTTGGGAAAACTGGTATCATGATGAAGGTAGGTCTTGAAGGGAAAGGAAGAAAGAGATCAGCTACAATCAAAGTGGCATCCAAGCATATGATGCATGGTAGATGAATGATACAATCCAAGACCGTTGCAGAGAGGAGAGACTGTAATGATAAATGCAATTTATCCCTGTACTATTCATTCTTTTCAGTTTGCATGACCCTTTACTTATCATGCCCAAGAGAGTTAAAAACATCAAAGTTGAGACATTTCTATGCAGGGAGCCGTCTCTTAAGTTAACTTTCTCATTTTTGGTATTTTAGGTAAAAGAATTCAACTTCCGCTCCAAGTGCACATACACAGCTGTGATGGTCCGCAGGGTGATACTAGCTCAGGGAGATAACAAAGTGGATGACAGAGATTATTACGGAAATAAGAGGCTGGAACTAGCAGGACAGGTAAGTGCACCTCGATGCTTAATAAAATTGGATTATGTTGTATTGCCTAATGTGTCAGTCAAATGCACATGGTCATTTAATTTAAACAATATAGTTGCGATAATTTCTTAACCAAACTCATGAAATAAAAATTATGTTCTTTGATTTAAAATGAAAAGGTAAAGGAATTCCTGCGGGTTTTACTCCATGCTAGTCGTTGCTGACTATAGAGGGAGATTCTCATTTCCATTTCAAAGCCATTGAGCCAACACTGTCCAAAGACATTCTGTGGTCATGTGACCAGCATGATGTCACAAAGTGCTGATACCTTCCCATCAAAGTTGTACCTATTTATCTACTCGCATGTGCATGTTTCATTTTTTTCTTTGTTTGTATATGTTTTATTTGTAGTTTTCTTTTAACAACCAACATATTTTGTGGACAGTGTAATGACTGGGTCAATACATTTTTTACACAGTACTAACAACAATAATACAATTACATATACATAGTTTTTATCTTCCAACTTCTAACCAAGTTCATCTTTTCCCACCATTTGTTGAGGTTCTACACTCACATCTTTATTTTTGAACAATCCCATCATCTCCTTATGATTCTTTTGTCACATTTTCATAAACCTTTTAACCATCAATAATATTTCTTCATAGAACTTTATTGTCTCCTGCTGAGTCATTTTGTACCAAATTAATATATCAAAAGTTACTCAATATATTCCAGTATCCCAATATCTAAAAACTTTTTTTTAGTTTCTTTTAGGTCTGAGTCTTTAATCTTTAATCTTTTTCTTTGGTTTTTAGTCTTTAATCCTTCTCCATAAATCCAATCGCCACTTTCTTAATGTTTGAATATTGGTTTTTTGAATTTTTTACTTTAGCTAAATCTTTAAGGTAAAATTTGGAAGTTATCTTACCCAGTTTCACTGCTCTGTCCACGCACCGCTCCAGCAAAGATCTTAATATCCTGGTTGTGCCAGCTTGTGACTGGGTGTCCCTGCTTTCTTCAGATCAGTGAGGAAATTCCGGTTTCCTCGTGATCGATGAAGCACATCTCCTTTCTTCACCACCCTTCCAGAGTGGCTTGACCCTGAAGGATCTTCCGGCAAGCAGTTGCCAGCTGCATTTCACAGAGCCCGGCCGAGCTCCATTATTTTCCATCCTTTCCTGCCATGACGTCAACCAGAACTCCTCATGTGCATCCCCCCCCATTTGAAACGCAGAGATAAATGCTGCAGGTAGAGTGTTTATCTCAATCTGATCCAAGTGCAGAGTAGAGAGAGCCTTTGCATGACATATGCTGAGGTGGCTCTGGAATTCAGCAGAAAAGTATGACAAATGCAAAAAGGACAAAGCTGCCTTTCATCTTCTTTAAGGAGCAGGAGTGGGAGGAAGGACATCCCAAACATGAGCAAGTACACTTAAAAGTAAAGGTCTCCTGTCATGCCTGTCAGAATCTGAATCTGCGGCAGAAGATTAGCTGGAACAAGAGCCAACACAGATCAAGAAGGTGGCTCCATTGACCTTGGAGGAAACTAGGGATGGGCAGAGTCAGTTTGGCCAGGGCTTTTCAGTATTAGAAAGGCTTGTAGACAGGGAGCAGAAGAGACACAGCTCAGGTGAAGAGCAAGGACCATCCCCTCCTGATCCTAGAGCACGAAGAGAAGAGAGGAGGCGAGAACAACTCAGATTGAGCCAGCTATGAGGGAGGAGAGTGCCATGCCCCCTTCACAAGACACACCTTATGACTGAGATGTAAGGAGGTGCTGGTGGAAGAGGCATTTGTGGGGAACAAGTGTTGAATCTGTGGAGCCTTGTGGGCACTTGCTGATGCCTGGAGATTGCTGTTTGGCTAACCTGGCTTACTGGACTGCTGGCCCTGGTTCTATTTGGCTAAACCTGGCTTATTGGACTGTTGGCCCTGGTTACTGTTTGGCTAAACTTGCTTACTGGACTATTCGCAGCCAGAGGTTGCTGAAGGTGCGTGCTGGAACTTTGCTCCAGGACCTGTAGTAAATGTGGGGACATTTGGGGGCAAAGTTGGATCAATAAAAAGGAGTTAGATCTGTTCTCTGGCTGTGTCGCTTTGGTGCCATGCTCCAGATCATAACAGTCTCTTCAGTTTATACATGCATTAATGTAGATAAAATTCCATCTGTTTCATCACTGCTGAAAGAAGGAAAAATAAGTTTTTGAGCAGTGCTGAATGGTGAATTCTGCATTATTTACCTTTTATGTAGTAATTGTTCTAATTTTTTAGAAACATACTACAAAATTCTTTACTATTTATTATATTTTTAAAAATATACTAGTCAAAAATACAATTCTCTGTGTGTTTAGTTGATTAACTTTCCACTTTATAGCAAATTAATCAATTATAATTTGTTTTCATTACATTATTCCTCCTTGTGCTAGAGCTTAGCTACAAATCATTACAGCAGTTTCTGGTCCAAATATACCTTGAACTTGCCACAATTCTTTTCAAATACAACGGTTTTTAAGTTAGAGTTTCATAAATAGTACTATCTGCCTATTGCCTTATTAGATATTTTAATATTTATGATACTTTTGTAAGTTAAAAATATATCTTGCAGACGTGTTTCTGCTGTTATTAACACAATGTTTGCATTATATCTGCAAAATAATAAAGCACCTTACTTTAAGCCTGCTACTCAGTGTTTTCAGTTAATGTTTCCGTCTAAATGGCTTTCATCCTTTAAAAAGCTGGCAGTATTTCTGGGCTAAAAATTCAGTTGCTTAAAAATTTGAATGAAAAGGGATTGATCCTGTATTAAGGAGAAAAGCAGAGCAATCTGCACAATGTGAAGACATAAAAGGTATTGTGTCTATAAAAATGTGTGAAAACAATAGTAGCTAATTTCACACCCCATGGGACAAGGGAGCACAAAATGTGCTTTAGCTTTAGATAACAGTTGTTTCCACTAGCCAAGCTGGTTTACAGAGCTTTTTCTTCATTTTTTCAGCCCACAAGAGGCTTGGCAGGCCAGGTGCCAGCAGAGGTGTTAGCGAAACCTACAGACTCCAAGCTTAATCTTTTCACCTACCTTTTCTCTTTCCTTAATGTGTTCATTATTTGCTGAGCATTTCCCTCCTCTTTGTCCTCGGGGTTTGTTTGGCATTTCCCTCTCTCCCTCTCCCTCTCTCTTTCTAATTCGGCTTGCTTTGTATGGGTGAGATATGGAACAGCACCAAAATCCGGCACCCTGGAAAGGAAAGGATTTCTACCCTATGACAAAAGAAAACCGTCTTGACTTCAGAGATTGACTAATCCCAGCTGTTCTGATAATATAATTAAGGCTGCCTAATGTCTTTAATTTTGCAACCAGTTTGTGTGAAAAGGAGAATTTGGCACTCTAAAGCCTTAAACAGTAAATGGCAATCTCAAGGAGGCTAATTAGAATTCTCTGACATTAAGCTAATTTGTGAAATTCTATTTCAGCAGCTTAACTTCTTTATTAATTTTTTTTTCTTCAGGATTTTCCGTGGAAATCAATTGATGAACTGTCACTTTTTTCCCTTATACCTTCAACCACATTTGGGTATAATTTACTTCCCAGTCCTCTTTTTGAAAGGCCTTGTGCTAGCAATGAAAATTTAATGATGATTATTGCTGGGATTCCATTCTGTGTTTAATCACTTACCCTTGATTTTTAAAAAATAGGCTATCGTGGATCTTTGCCATGCTCTTAGGAATAAACCCTTTTAAAATAAACCAAAGTAAAAAAAAAGTCAGTCTAACTTTAGAATAGATCGAAACAGAAAGAAAATTAGTGATTTAGTGGAAACCTTTTTGAAGTCAGTAAAAATTTATAGAACATTATTATATATTCTATATAGGAAATCGTTCTGTATGAAATCCTGGATAGTTACTGCCACTTAAGTGCTTCAATTCACTATAAAACATGAAAAGATTTGTTTGTTTTGCTAATATATTGTATGATGCTACTATGATTATAAATAATCATGTACAGTTTATTGCAATTTATATTGTGCTTTTCAGACTCGGAAGTTAAGAGAAACTCAAAGTAATAACAGCTTGCAACAGTTGTTTCTTTAAAGTTATATTTTAGAGTGCAGTTTATAAAATCTGGAATATGCACAGTTAATAGTAAAGCATTTCAATTACTGTGTGTTCAAAGTGATCTAGATATTGAACCAAAAGGAGCTTTGTCAACCAGTGTTTTCTATAAACTATTAGGGATACAATGATGGAAAGATGATGAATACAATCAGTGTAAATGTTAATTTCGAAAGCAAAGTAGATACTTGGCCTTGTACCAAAAGGGGCAGAGTTCTGCTAATACTTCTAAGAAAATGGAGACAGTTTTAAAACAGACTCATTCCCTGCAGGAATTAAATTATGCAATAGATTCCAGAGTGTCTTAACAGGGCCTGTTTAAATACTTAGCTTGTTTGGTGCTTAACAATGTATTGTATACTGGGAACTTGCATTTTTGGCATGCCCTAGTAACTGTATTTTAGTCTTCCTGACAATTAAAATTGTTTAAAAAAAGCAAAGTTTGGAATGGAGCTGTTTTCTAGAGACGAGAAGAAGCTGAGAATGAAAAGCAGTGTTTAATCTCTGGCTACCTTGCTGTGAAACATGTTAGATAGCTTTAAATAAAAATAACACCCCCTTCCCCCATGCATTAGTAGAAAAAACATTGCATGTGAATGGGCAAACTAGTGAGCCAACTAAAAAAAGTGACAATCAAATTAAAAAAATAAAATGAGTTGGAAGGAATTTATTACATAGGGAACAATTAACAGAATCGGAAGGAGCCTCAGTTTTCTCCTTTCATAAATATTGGATAAACCATATTATACAACATCACTCCATTTCAACATTTCCTTGGTTGTAAATTAGAACTGAGGAGAAATTTCCTGACAGTAAGAACAATTACTCAGTGGAACAGCTTGCCTCCAGAAGTTGTGAATGCCCCAACACTGGAAGTCTTTAAGAAGATGTTGGATAGCCATTTGTCTGAAACAGTATAGGGTTTTCTGCCTAGGCAGGGGGTTGGACTAGAAGACATCCAAGGTCCCTTCCAACTCTGCTATTGTATTGTATTAAATTAAATTAATTACTTTAAATTTTTATTGCAGCTTCTGTCCCTTCTATTTGAAGACTTGTTCAAAAAATTCAACTCTGAGTTGAAGAAAATCGCTGACCAAGTAATTCCCAAGCAAAGAGCTGCCCAGTTTGATGTAGTTAAGCACATGCGGCAAGATCAGATCACCAACGGTATGGTGAATGCCATTTCGACCGTAAGTGTTTCATTTGGATGGACAGCCTTGAGATATCATGAGCCAAGCAACACGATTAAGTGCAAATTACAGGAGCATGGTGCTTCTTTTTCCAATTTTAATTCAAAACCTTCCTTGCATTTGTTTATAGAAGAATTGTTAGTAACTTATTGTGTTATATTTGTAAGTCATTTTACAGTTCATCCACTTCTGGTTTCTGTCATCTAGAAAGTACAGTATATAAGGGGCCCTTGGTGCTCTCTGAGCTTGGTTGTTTTACTGCAGACATTTCAGCTAGGTAATATCACCACCACTGACGCTGTTACCTAGTTTGAGTAATGAAACATTTACAAGAAAGCACCGACCCATCATCTCAGCCCCAAGCTAAAAATATTCTCCTTTATTAGTGCAATACATTTCTGTCAGTTGATAGAGGTGTTCAAAGCGTTGTCTCTATTTTGTTGGATGTCTTTCTTGAGAATGTGAGCAAAGTGTATCACCAAATCCAGTTAGTTTCTTGACTTAAGTGTAAAGGATCTTTTTAGGTCTGGCAGCATAATCGTTAAATGTCCACTCCAAACAGTACAATTTAGCATCTAGATCAGGGGTAGTCAACCTTTTTATACCTACCGCCCACTTTTGTATCTTTGTTAGTAGTAAAATTTTCTAACCGCTCACCGGTTCCATAGTAATGGTGATTTATAAAGTAGGGAAGTAACTTTATAAAATTTATAAAGCAGAGTTACAACAAACCCCTACCGCCCACCATGAAAGCTAGAATGCCCACTAGTGGGCAGTAGGGAAAAGTTCACTACCCTTGATCTAGATTATTATCTTTGTGCTATCAGAAAAGAATAGGGATTAGTGTGTTTCTAAACCCCTTAATTTATGTTATAACTCTCTTATTTTTTTAAAGAACAAGTCTGTCTTTCTTTAACTACTTTGGTTTATTTGGTGTGTTCTTATATTATTGCCAATATCTGTTCTTCGTAACAGTGTACAGGACTTAATATAATAGTTTTAAATTGAATGGATGTTTTAAAAAATGTTCCTGAAGTTAAGAACAGTGGTACCAATTATCAAGGAAAGGGAAGTGTATTGTTAATTTTTTAATTTGGATTCTTGCACTAAGTAGGGAACTGGATTCAGTGGTTTAAAAGACCCTTTCCAACTTTAAAACTCTGTGATTTAAATCTGGATCCTGTCCAGGAAATGTATTATTATAATGCACCCTAGAAATAAATAATGTATTGAGCTGTTTCAACCATTCCAGTTGTTTACCAACAGAGAAATGTCTTGCTTATGTATTTCTTCACCTTAGTACTTATATCAAATGCCAAATAAAAATTGAAATGGACTTTAAACAATTGAGAAGTTTGCCTGTAACAAACAATTAATCAAAATCTTAGCATGCTTAAATTCAACACATGGCCAACAGCATGATTATTGTCATTTATACAAAAAAGTTTCCTAGATTTTCCTGATAGATGAATATCTGGGCCTGTTTTACCATGTTTTCCACACTGATACTGTTTAGAAATGTAAAAGGTTGTTTGAAGCGTTGACTAGTTTTACATGGTTCTTTATCTTTAGGGAAATTGGTCATTGAAGAGATTCAAGATGGATCGACAGGGTGTGACTCAAGTATTGTCACGCTTGTCCTATATCTCTGCTTTGGGGATGATGACAAGGATTTCTTCTCAGTTTGAAAAGACCAGGAAAGTGAGTGGGCCCCGATCTCTGCAACCATCTCAGTGGGGAATGCTGTGCCCATCAGATACTCCTGAAGGAGAGGTAAGCTCTATTAGGTTAATGCACTTCCCCTTGTCATATAACCTTATACTTTACAAGTTATTATATAGATGTACTGCCTTTGCCTATTCCCATCCATTTTTGCTGTCTTTTTCCCTCAAAATGAAGAACCTCCATGCATTGACTTCTTCTACTGCTTCCATGCTGTTAACCAAATCCTCCTGGGATATCCATGATTCAGCAAACCTTTTTCATAGCTATTTTCACGCTCTAAACTTTTCTTCAATTTTGATTGAAGATTTTATGTCCTTGAAATCTTTTGGCTGGCTATCCTCTTTAAAAAGACAACTTTGAATTGTTTGAAACAAATTGCCAATACATACATTTATTTAATGGCAGATTACAACAAATCTGTTGTTTAGTGCAAAACAATCTAACTAGCCCTCATAGGTATAAACAAAAAAACAAAGTTGTAAATTTAATTCCAAGTATGGTTGTAAAGCTATAAATATCAGTGATGTCACTTGTGTTTTCTAGGATTAAATTATGAATTCTATTCTGTGTTTTTTTTAATATAACTTGGAATTAGTTGTCACTAGCCAGTCAAATTCTGATAGCAATCACCAAATAACAGTGGCTACAACAGTGCACAAAATTGCATACTAGTATATCTGATGCATAATAACATATTTGATGGCCACCTAAGCAGAATGTTTGTTAAATTTAACTCTTAGTATTTTAGTTATATGAATTGATTTTATATACTTCTTTTCCTTTTTAATTTTTTAACTGACTTCTGTTTTCGTCAGGCCTGTGGCTTGGTTAAAAACTTAGCACTGATGACTCACATCACTACTGACATGGAAGACGGCCCTATTATTAAATTAGCTGGTAACCTTGGAGTAGAAGATGTAAACCTTCTGTGTGGAGAGGAACTTTCATATCCAAACGTGTTTCTTGTTTTCCTTAACGGTATGTTACTGCTTTTAATCCAAATGAAACAGGATGCTAGAAGTTTAGTATAAATAATATGTCCTTCTCACAATAATCAAGACTTGATCAAGTAATTTTTCAGAAAATGAGATTTTTTAAATGCCTGATTGTGAATGTTAACAGTGCAGTTAAAGGTTCCCAAACTTCATCATTTCAATTAGAATCCCAGTAATTTATTTTCACAGCGCTGCTATGCCAAAACTGAACTATTTCAAGTTAGTAGTTCTTGTGGTGTCTGGCTAATGTTAAATATCACTGTTTCCCTTGATAATTTAAAATATCCCATGGTTCCTTTGTGAGTACACTGTGTTGTACAAAGTTTGGGAACTATAGAGTGCATATGTGCCCAGTAGAATTCTTCTTGCATTCTCTTTTTTTGATGGTTCATCCCATGGCATAAATGCAACTTTTAAAGTTACATATAAACATTGATTGGGGAAGCTAATTTTTATTAATCTCTAATATATTTCATTCTAGAGATACGGTTTTCATATAATGAGCATGATTCTAAACCTCTTATGTTAGTTACAACATGAGGTAAAGCTTTAGAAACCCACTTCCACATTTAAAAAGTACCTAAATGCAGTTATGGCAGGAAATAGACCCTCAACACTGTTGACAAATCAGGAGCAAGATGTGAGATAGTAAAATCTGTAGCTGCACAATTATTGTGCATTGATCCCAATACCGCTATGAGGCGTTCTCAAAATAGTGTTTCTCATGCAAAATACTCCCAGTATATGCAATAAATACTTAAAGTGCATTTAGTACAGTGTGAAATTGTTTTTAAGAAAAATTCATACCTGATTGGGGATGTTGAGAGTTACTATCCCTCATATCTGGAAAATACCAATTGGGGAAAAATGTGTAGAAATGATAGAAGGAGGGTAAAATAAAGCTTTTTCTCTCAATCTGCTATAACTGTGAAAGTTCCAACCCTGCAAGATTTTACCATATACCTAATTTTTAACTTTTAGGAGAGACCATATTGAAGTTCTTTGAAGTAATCATGATATCAACAAAAGGATAGTAAAATTGCTTTTGTTAGAATATGAAAATTGTTCTCTTTTAGGTTTATGTCAGTGCTTTAAATGGTTGCTACCATTTCATTTCTAGGAATGACTGATCCAAATCCAAATTATAGCAGAAATCCAGTTGAATTACCTACTATCATTTCTTGAAAAATGCATTGACTTTACTGTTAATTGCTGCCTGTTTATGTCCCAGGACAGAATAGAAATTGATCAAACATTTCATAACTATGCTGATGACAACTTGGATTGTTATTCCACAGAAAGCCAACATTTGGCTTTATCCATTGAAATGATGGTAACATTTACAGAATCATTTAATTGTTTGTTTGAACAGGTAACATCCTTGGTGTTATTCGAGATCATCAGAAACTGGTCTACACATTCCGGCTAATGCGTAGAGCAGGCTATATCAATGAATTTGTTTCAATCTCCACAAATCTTGCAGACAGATGTGTCTATATTTCTAGTGATGGTGGAAGGCTATGTAGGTAAGAATTTTGAATATGCTTTTCCCAGGCCATGACACCAGAATATTTTATTCCAAGTATGCTATCAGGTTGTTCAGTTCATTCACAAAAAACTGTTTTAGACATGTGTGCAGTCCAAAGGTTGATTGGCAAGCAGTTGGCACTTCACAAATAACCCAATATAAATTGGAACTCAAGGGATGCACATGTCAGCTGTTTTAAAGTATCTGTCATGTTGTATGATTAATGTTACTTAATTTCTCAATTTTGCTGTGATTGTTTCCTTTAATCCTATTGTAGTTATTAAGATCTCCACTTCAACCTTGAAAGCACGAATTAGCTCTTAAACTTGAACTGGGGTATTGTGATTATTTAGGTCGTACTGGACATTATGTTCAACCCCTGATGTCTAGCTGGGCATGCCATTCTTTGTAACGTTGCTTATATGTTTATGATAAAAAGCCTTTGCTGATTTAAAACATTAAATTAAATTTTTTAAAAATCAGAAACAATTAAAAAATCAACTACAGAATGTAAATCTATCTACTTTAGCAATGATGGCTACCTTTTTGTCCTCGCGTGGCAAAAGTGCATGTGCGCACATGACAGCGCACATGTGCCCACACCCATAATGCAATGTGTGTGCGACACCTCCCCGTGCGCCCCACCCCATGCGCATGTGCGCTGCCCCCTGCACGCCCCCCACCCCCGTGCACCCCCCCTCATGCTACTCCCACACATGCGCACCACAACCCCCCATGCCCCGTTTTAAACATAGCAGGCCTTCCTGAAGCGTCCTGGAACCAAAAAATGGGGTTTGAGGGGTGCCGCACCTCCCCCCCACTCCCCCTGCCCCCCATGCATGAGCATGCAATCCCCCACACATGCACGTCCGTCTTCCGCATGCACAGTAGAGCTGAGCTAGGCCACGACTCATGTGCCCTCAGAGAGGGCTTTGTGTGCCACCTGTGGCAAGCGTGCCATAGTTTTGCTATCACGAACATAGAGTCTCTTACAAATAGACAAGGAGTACGACAGGCTTTGTTAATACTGAAAGATGTGGCTCCCCAAGTTTCAAGCATATCTCTTCTTTCAGAGATATGAAACTGGTAGGGATATAAAATTTCCATGTCCTCTGAATTGTGTCCCACAGAGTGCTCTACATTATGTCATATCCTTTTAAAAAAACACTACTCTTTCCTTCAAGAGACTTTCACTCACATTTCATTTATACTTTTAAAGTTTATAAAGTTAAATAATTTATTAAATGTAGAAATAAGTGATAGTAAAGTATTTGCTAAGAGGGTTATAGCCATTCCCTCTTTAAAATATATAACTTTTCTACTTAATGTTAAAAATTGTTTGCAGTCATTGATTAAAAAGGCTAAATGGAGTCCTGTTATGCATTCCCTAGCCATATATATATGCTAGCCGTATGTATTAGAAAATAAATGCAAATCTTTGTAAGAGTGGTATATACAGCTGCCTGCTGTTAAATTGTCAGAGCACATTAATACAGAATAATACAGATGTTACATTATGTCATGTTCTCATGACTTACATGCACACACACATCAGCGGGTGAGAAGGGCAATTTTTCTACTTGTACACAGTTGTGTGGTTTGTCCTGAATTGTGTTTTTAGTTACATTGATCACCAGTGGTGCTTCCTGGTGATCGCTGTAACTGAAAATAAATGCCGATAACTGAGTTGCAGGTACATCTGCCTTTCAAACTTGATAGCCTAATATGAACCACCATATGGATAAATACAATTCCTGCGTGTGATTTCCTGTTTTATTTTGGGAATATCTTCGTAAGGGCAATGGAAAGTATGTGCAGATCTATTCCCATATTACAATGAAAGCTGTTGTGTATGCCAGTTGGAGGCCCTTTATTCCTTCAGTATGTCGTTTTCCTGTATATGATAAGTATTTCTTTTTTTCTTTCCTGACCTTTTAATTTACACATTATATTTACAAGAGTAGTCTACCTTTTTTTAGTAGCATAATATATACAGTCAGCTAAGACTGAGTATATGGGCTCTAAGTCTTTAGGATCCATTCTGCTTCAATCCACTCTAATTGTAATTCCCTATTATATTCCTCATGCTGCTAACTTCTGCTGTTAACAAGATCTTCATATCATCTCTGAAATGATACGATAATAAAATACATAATTTGCTAGCTCTCTTTCCTTTGATCTAGGCCCTATATTATTGTGAAGAAGCAAAAACCCTCTGTAACAGAAAAGCACATGGAAGAACTGGCACAAGGTTATAGGTAAACAACTCAGCAAGTTATCCTGGTTTCTTTACCAGGATCCATCTGTTCATAAAAACAAAATTTCCTATGTTTGCAACCCAGTATTTAAGCATAAATATTTCCATACTCTTCATCAACAAGCTACCATACCAAGAGCCAAGGTGGCGCAGTGGTTAAATGCAGCACTGCAGGCTACTGCTAGATCAGCAGGTCAGCGGTTCAAATCTCACCGGCTCAGGGTT